TGCTGATCCAAATTCCGTCTACACTTGTGGGTTTCCTCTGCAAGATTTCAAGCCAACCCTGAATTTCTCTTTAGATGGGTATGCAAGCCTTCACAATGTTCAAAGTGGGAGACTCTTGTTTCCGTTTGAGGACTTGAAACAGGTTTCTAACACCACCACCACCACCACGCCAATGGATCAGAAGCAACAAGGGGATTCAACTGGGTATTGGACTGGAATGTTAGGCGGTGGATCATGGTAATTAATTAATCAAGAGAGTCAAAAATATATTTATTAATTTATTTACTTTCTTCTCTAGCTTTCTACCAAGTTAATTTTCCTTTCAACTTTTTTTTTCTTTTGGTTTTAATGAGTTTCCTTCAGATCATATGAGGACTTCACTTGTTTGGATTTCTTCATGACTGGCTAACAGCTGATAGGATCGATTCATACATGGGTTTCTTTTCCTCTTCTGTCAATTTCTTATGTATCTAGCTCCTCTTCATGACCAAGATGGGATCTTGAAATTAATGAAGCTTATTTTAGCCAGGCTTCAGTAGTAATCAAGGGTTACATTACATTTCATTTCATTCTATGTAATGATAGAAGAGATCAAGATTAACCCCATTTTTTTTAGGGTTAACTAGTAGTAGCTAGAAAGGGGTCCCGGGTAAATTAAGTGCATGTTGCCCTTTTAATATCTCATGTAATTTATATTCCATCACAAGGCAAGGCAACCCACACAACATTTTACGCCATCATAAATTGGTTTGGTTGTCTATAATGTACAAGAACATATTATATAAATTGGTATGTTAATTATGTTATATGACTTACGAATGTCTCACTGCAAATGCCTTTTTTTTCTTTTTATGCTGTAAGTTGCAGCTAGCAAGATTCATCTGTGCATTAAAATGTGTTATATGATGAAGCAGAATATATGGTGCAATATAGCAAGAGGAGAATAAAAGGGAGGTGAGAGTTCTGATATGTTCACGTGACATCCCATTAGAGAAAGGGTGATTAAGATAGTCATCATAACTACAAACTAAAAAGCTGCCTCTCAATCGAAAGCTCACCTACCGGCCTCCACAATAGTAATATTTTGGTTTGAAAGAGTGAAATGTTTTTTATGATAGATTTAAAAACTAAGAGTGTTGAATGAGATTCACATTTGCAGCATTAAGGCGAGGCAATGATGATTGCTTGCGTCCCACCTCTTCCTTTGTCTATCCCAATTGAAAGAAGAAGAAGAAGAAAAAAAAGTGAGAAGCATCTGACACATGACATACCCTGTTATCTTGTGCTTTTCTGAGTGGGGGACCCATAAACATTCCCCTCGGCATGTGTGCTGAATAAGAATAATAATACAGTCAGTCCCACTTGCTTCATCAAATTCATACCATTCCAACCCAACTTCTCTTCTATAAACTTGCTTTGTCCTTTTCTCATCATTCTGCGCTGTAACCCACTACTGATGCAAATTATTAAACCAATTCTTCAGACTAAATCTCATCATGCATATATATTTAATATGATAAGAGATACTACAAACAAATTAACTTTTTTTTACCAATATATATTCTATTACATTTTATTATTGGTTAATATTTATTAAATGAAAAGTAAAATTCATTATGATTTTTTAATTTTTAATAAATTTTATTTAATAATAATAAGTTTGTTAAAAAAATATGTTAGAGAGTCTAACAATTTTCATACATTACTTGATTATAGAGCAAATTTTCAAGTGTTATAACAAAATTTAGTAATAATTTAAAGAAAATAATTAATATATATATATATACACACACTATTTTTTGTCTCGTTTCTTTAGTTATTTTTAAAATATTTATCAAAATATTTTTTTGAAAATTATTAATTTTTTGATAATGTAAATATTTAATATAATAAATAAATAATGATTTAATAAGTGCGTGATTATAACTGTATAGAATGGTTAATCATTTATCAAATAGAAGTATTTTATCATAAAATTCATATAATGAATCATTTTTGTAAAATGTAAATGATAGATAAAATGAAAGGAAAAGAAGAATAATATAAGGATTAAACTAAAAAAAAAAAAATCTTTAAAAGTGCAACCAACGTGCTTTTGTTGTAGTCTCCCAAATTAAGAAATTTTAAATGAGTTATTAAAATTTTCAATTATTTTATCATAATTTTTAAACTTAATTACTTACTATTATTTTATTTCTTAAATATATGTTAATTCTATCAATAATTTTTTAAAAAATTTTAGTAAAAAATATACATGATTCACATCTTTTACTTTTATATACTTATTTCAATTTTGGTTTAGAAAATACGATAAAGTTAATTATACACTTTCAAGGATTATAAACTAGTGATTTCCGTATGTTATTTAAAACTAATAATTATTTTAAGTAATATTTATATTAACATTTATGTTTAATTATATTTTGTGTCCCTAAATTTTTATATTACAGCAAATTTTTCCCCTAAAATATTTTTTCATAGATTTTACTTTCAAGTTTTAGAAAGTTATAAATTGTATTATTTTTAATATTTTATTGAAATATAAATATAATAGTGAGGTAAACATCAAAGTTAATTGAATTTTGTGTTTTTAAATTTTTGTATATTTGCAAATTCTCTCTCATATATATATATATATAATTTGTGTATGTCATTGTTCATTGGTGTGAAACGCATGTTATATTCTGATATTGTTTGATATGTCTATGTCACACCATACAGAATTTCATGTCGGTGCTACCATGCGTGTAAATCTTATACGCTCCTACAATATTATATATATATATATGGATCCATTAGTTCATACTTTCATTATTAAAATCTACCCATGACGTCACCACAGTCGGCATGACTGAGTGCTTTTTTTTAAATATATTATAAAGGTTTTTTTTTTATTATTATAGAGAAGATTTTACTGAAAAAAATAAAATTTCTTTAAAAAATATAATCGTAGATAATCAGTTTAGAAATATTTATAGTGAAATAAAATATAATACAATTTATGTTAGAAAGTATTTTAGCATTAATTAATCTTATTTTTTTAAGATAGGAAAGATTACACAGATAATCGCAATAAAGATTGAACCTAGGTTCTCATGTGTCTAATTACTTCAATCCCTCCCCACCCAATCACTAGGTTAATCCTAATGTTAATCAATTTCATTTTGATATATATTAACTTTATTTATTTTGAAAAAATATAATTGACCTATTTTGAGTATCAATATTGTATTTTGTCAGAAAAAAAAATGAGAAATAAGATAAAGAGAAGTAAAGGAGAGAGAAATAAATAGTAAAAATTTGTAACAAAATAAAGTAAAAATAAAATTATTTAGTTTGAGAGAAATAAAAAATAAATAAAAATAAAATAAAATTATAAATTTGTTTAATTTGAATAAATAAAAATAATAAATTATAATGAAAAAGAATATAGTATTATCCTCTTATGTTAAATAATATTATTTGAATTAAAATTGATGATTGAAATTAAAATTCAATTATAAAGAATTTTTTTATGGTATTATTATTATTGTCATTTTTACGGTTAATACTCAGTACTATTGATAGTTATAACGGATAATAGTGATGATAAAAATTATAGAAACAATAATTATAATGATTTTATATGAAAAACGATAATAATTAAATTTTAATATCAAGTTCCAACCATTATTTTTAATTCAAATGAACCAAAACTAACTGTCATATCAATAAAAGACTATGTGTTCAACCTATGAGAACACAATGCCAAGCCAATTAAATCCACATTAACTTAAAAGTGAACAAAACTACAAAGTAGGTTCCACCTTCATTTGGCCAAGTTAGGCAACATTTAATTTGTCATTAAAGATCCAATAAACTAATTTTTACCCCTCAAAGCCCAAAACATAACAAATAAGGCCCAAGGTTCAAATACAAAGAAAAATAAAAAAATTACAAGGAAAAGATTTATAATCTAAAAACTTAGCTCCTTCCAACAACATTGTGCTCCCTCTTGAACTCATATTCATCTTCTCTATAGTAGATCTCTATCAACCCATTATCAAATGGGTCTAAAATGATGTAAATTTAATTTGTGCTCAAAACTTGTACTTAAAAGCCTTACACTTCATCCAACATATTTGGAATGGGTTGGTTGTGGGTTTGATGCAGATTAGACAAATAAAATTGAGACTCAATTTGAGTTTTTGAAATAAGCTCAAATTAACTAAGATATTCCATATTTAATTTATGTTCAAAAAGTCAAAGTTCAATTCTAATATTTCATTCATAAGGTTCAAGTCATGCCAATCGCAAGCTTGATGTGAGTTGCAGTAAGTCAGGCCAAAAAAGAAATGTGGATTCAATTATGCAAGCTTTTAATACGAAGCTCAAATATGAGAAACACTATTTTTGTACAATTCTTTTTAAGGTTAGGCCCGGATGAATGATTAAATTATATTGAAAGACCTATTTTATTTGGAGCAATTTAAAATATTTATATGATTAAACAATTATGTTTAAAATTTTGACGAATATTTCAATTGCATATGGATATAGTAGTCTTTGATTAGTATATATGAAATGTCTATTTTTTATTTTAGTTTATTATGTTTATAGACAAAATATTGTAACGCAATTTGAATGAAAACGTCTTTCTAAAGCACTTGTGATGAAGTTTAAGGTCATTACGTCTTAAATTTGCGAAGAAACTATTTTTATTCATTTTGTCATAAATTATTTTATGGATAGTGTTGCATAAATTCGTACCTGTAATTATTGAAAACAATAAAAGGGAATTTTCTTTTTTATAATATTTGTAAAAAATTATGCTAGCTCTCAAATTATTTATATTTAGATTAAATATATTTTTTGTCCTCGAATTTTTTGTCTATTTTTATTTTTATTTCCTGAATAGATGTTTTATTAGTTTTTGTTTCAAAATTTTTGCCAATTTTTACTTTTAGTATTTAAACTTTTTTCTTGTTAATATTTTAGTTCCTAATAACAATATCATTTGTTTATGAAAAAAATTAAAAATAAAACTAAATAAAATTTGTTCAAAAGACTAAAAGTAAAAATTGATAAAAATTTAAGAATTAAAAACATATATAATCCTTCATGTTATTTCTCACTTTCCATTCCACAACGTGACAAAGTGGAAATTTTGTACTATTATAATTTGGATCTCCTGTTGTCACATAGGATTTAAATTTTTTTTCCCTATATTTTGTTATGATAAAAGAAATTAACTTGGGTTGATAATTTATTTTATGCAGATTATGCAATAGATCTACTTCCTTTCTTTTTTATTGTAAGAATTTAGTTGTTGGGTGTTCCTATATAAGAAGGGTTAACTTTTACACCGTAAATAACATATAACACTGCTTCAATGAACCATATAATTAAGAATTCCTGTGGAAAATTGTAACAAAAAAATGTTATTGACTTTGAGATTTTAGTGGTATTAAGATCAGTGGCAATGATGTTACTTAGAACTTAGAAGAACCCACTCATGGTAGCAGCTTATGAATTATGATAGCAGCAATATCTTCTCCGATTGATTTTACCTGGGAGTCAAACACAATGAGATAGAATACAAGTTGATCCTCACCGATTAAGAGAGGATAATGGGACTTGTAATCAATGCTCAATTATTTACCCTTACGCCGCAAACGATTGACTAAGAATAGACTATACAGTGAATCACAGCTGGTAAAGTAATCAGACAGATCAAAAAAATTATTGAGTTGACTTTAAAGAAGTGAATCCTCAATTAATTCACCAAATGCAACCATAATCATACCAAAACTTGTAATCAAACTATATATGTTTGGGGACACATTAGAGGGGCTGTTTTCAGACAAGTATATATAATATCTATTAAAAAAAAAACAAGTAAAAGAAAGTTAAGAAAAACGGTAAAATTAAAGTCTAAAAATTTAAATATGATGGAGGACAGAGAACAAATTAATTAAGTATATATAATATCTATTAAATATAATTTTTTTATCAAATTAAATATAAATTATTATAAACCACATATCTTTAGCATTAAATTAAATATATATTTTTTTAGATATGGAGTTTAGATAAAAGGGTATAAAAGAAGAGTTCATTTATCAAATAATTATTTTTAACGTTATCCCAAGGTGTTAAAAACAATTATTTTGTGGATTACGTACAAAAAAATAAATTGTTTACTTTTAATTTGAAACACTATCATTTTTTCCCTTTTATCAATAAAAATCTTGAGTCTAATAGGAGTATTTTATATTTAAGGTAAATACTAATTAAAAAAGTATATAATATTTGCATGATAAATTTAAATAAAATTTATATATATATATATATATATACATAATATGTAATTATCTTTATAAATTAAA